CTCCCGATATTCGGTATTTTGATGATTTTAGCGACATTATTTATCGGAACTATTTCAAATTTAGTATTTGAAGTTCGTAATGAATACCACAACCTATGACAGAAAATGAGCCATGTAGGTCCACATCTTCGTATAGCCCCCATATAACGGTACCCCCCCGATATTCGGTATTTTGATGATTTTAGCGACATTATTTACAGGGATTATTTCAAATTTCGCATGTGAAGTTCGTAATGGATACTTCAGCCCATGCCAGAAAATTGTCTGTGCAGGTTCACGTCTTCGTATAGCCCCCATATAACGGTACCCCCCATATTCGGTATTTTGATGATTTTAGCTACATTATAAACAGATTTTTCTTCAAGTTTCGCATTTAAATATTGTAATAATTTATGACAAAAGTTGCCTATGCAGGTCCACGTCCTCTTATAGATCCTAATATACGGCTACATTCGGTATTTTTAAGATTTTAACAGAATTTTTAACGGATTTTATTTTTTTCGAAAATTACCAAATTTGTTTCAAATGGTATTCAAGAAATCTTGAAGAATATTTTTCCAAGGACCAGCAGAGCTATAAACGTGGATTTTTTAAAGAATATTTTTCCAAGGACCAGCAGAGCTATAAACTTGGATTTTTTAAAGAATATTTTTCCAATGACCAGCAGAACTATAAAGGTGGACTTTTTAAAGAAAATTTTTCTAAGGACCAGCAGAGCTACAAACGTGGATTTTTTAAAGAATATTTCTCCAAGGACTTGTAGAGCTGTAAACGTGGATTTTTTTTAAAGAATATTTTTCCAAGGACTAGCAGAGCTATAAACGTGGATTTTTTAAAGAATATTTCTCCAAGGACCAGCAGAGCTATAAACGTGGATTTTTTAAAGAATATTTTTCCAATGACCAGCAGAGCTATAAACGTGGATTTTTTAAAGAATATTTCTCCAAGTAGCAGCAGAGCTATAAATGTGGATTTTTTAAAGAATATTTCTCCAAGGACTAGAAGAGCTATAAACGTGGATTTTTTAAAGAATATTTCTCCAAGGACTAGTAGAGCTGTAAGCGTGGATTTTTTTAAAGAATATTTCTCCAAGGACTAGTAGAGCTGTAAACGTGGATTTTCTTAAGGAATATTTTTCCAAGGACTAGCATAGCTATAAACTTGGATTTTTTAAAGAATATTTCTCCAAGGACTAGCAGAGCTATAAACGTGTTTAACTTCTTACGATCCCATTAAAAGGGAGTTTTAACCATATTTTGGAAAGAGGACAAAAAAGACCAAAAATTGACAAAATTGTAACGGAAGCATTCGGACATATTAACCAACGTTTGTATTTCCTCATGATGTTTCTTTAGTACGGAACTTACCTTTTTCGCACAGCTGTTACATATCCAGCATAGATACAGACCCTTCAGTGTTGACGGCAGCAGCGAATAGATATAATTCAAAATCATATGCATTTCAAGGGTATTCGTCATGATGTAGACGGTTGTTATATAGGCATAACGGGTTAAATCCACAACGTATAGGAAATTTGCCAAAAATATTCCGGGGCCATAGAATGTGGAACAGTGGCGTGAGGTGGCATAGATTTGAAAGTAGATACGTTTCATTGCCACAATTCGTTTCCATTGAAATGGTCGTATCGGGGTTGTGTTATCACGTTCTCCCGATGAGGTTGTGTTGATTTTGAATCCACAGTTTTTAGATGAAACCACATATTGGGCTCTTGATCTATGGTCGATGCAATTTTTACAAAATTTCCTAGCCATATTTTCAATTAAACTCTGATCTGTACCACCAACAGGTTTGGTATATCTATCCACATATTCCACGAGGATATCAAGTTTCTTTTCCAATTCACTGACTGCAAACCCCATTTGCAGATAGACATTCCAAATTGCCATTACTGCATAGACTAGACGTGCCACAAATCCGATAAATTTCAAATCAAATCCCTGGTGGTACATGATAATTAAAACGCCGCAGAACCAGGTAATATCGAAGGGAATCAGCGACACATAGCTGAGTCTGTGCCACAAGGGTCGCCCCTTCTTCTCCGCAGAGATTTTCACCTGATGATACAAACTTAGTTGCATCGTATCCTCGATGTCCTGCAGCAATTGTTGGATTTCGTGTTCTTTCTTTTTCCGCAACATCGCGCATAGGCAAATGAGAATATGCACACCCTTATACATGAGATACAGCAGTTTAAAGATAATTTGTAGTACACCCCTTTGACCCTGCACCAGGATCATACCCCAGTAGAAGTACAGTTCATAGATTTCCCAAATTATTATCAAGCAATTGTAGATTTGTAAGAATATCTCCACATGGCGATGTTCCGAGTGGCAGGATAAAGCCAAAAAACGAAAATACATGCAATTAAGGTATTTGAGAATATTTATGGCCATGACTGAGCGTTGGAATATGATGTAAAGGACTGGTTAGTTGTTTGGCACAGGCATCGCTGTCTTCAGCTTAACAATAGATTAATTTTTTTGAACGTCTGATTAATGAGTCACTGGAACAGTTCGGTTGATTGAAATGCGATAACACTTTGCGACAAAATTCAATTATTTTCAATCATTACATGAAAAAATAATGTAGATTACACTGCGGAATACAAAAAATTATTCTCGGGAAAATCCAGCAGATTATGGAAGGTGAGCCAAAAATAGAAGCTCCTCTTGTCCTTGGAAAAATATTCTTTAAAAAATCCACGTTTATTGGACTTTTAGGCCTTGGAAAAATATTCTTTAAAAAATCCACGTTTATTGGACTTTTAGGCCTTGGAAAAATATTCTTTAAAAATCCACGTTTAAAGCTCTGCTAGTCCTTGAAAAATTATTCTTTATAGCTCTGCTAGTCCTGGAGAAATATTCTTTAAAAAATCCACGTTTATAGCGCTGCTAGTCCTGGAAATTGCTCCTTTAAAAAATTCACTTTTTTAGCTCTGCTAGTCCTTGGAGAAATATTCTTTAAAAAATCCACGATTATAGCTCTGCTGGTCCTTGGAAAAATATTCTTTAAAAAATCCACGTTTATAGCTCTGCTGGTCCTTGGAAAAATATTCTTTAAAACTCCACGTTTATTGGTCTGCTAGTCCTTGGAAAAATATTCTTTAAAAAATCCACGTTTATAGCTCTGCTGGTCCTTGAAAAATATTCTTTAAAAAATCCACATTCATAGCTCTGCTGGTCCTTGGAAAAATATTCTTTAAAACATCCACGTTTATAGCTCTGCTAGTCCTTGGAGAAACATTCTTTAAAAAATCCACGTTTATAGCTCTGCTGGTACTTGGAATTTTTTTAATCCACGTTTATAGCTTTACTAGTTCTTGGAGAAATATTCTTTAAAAAATCCACGTTTAAAGCTCTGCTAGTCCTTGGAAAATTATTCTTTATAACTCTGCTAGTCCTTGGAAAAATATTCTTTAAAAAATCCATGTTTATAGCTCTGCTAGTCCTGGAGAAATATTCTTTAAAAAATCAACGTTTATAGCTCTGGTGGTCCTTGGAAAAATATTCTTTAAACAATCCACGTTTATAGCTCTGCTAGTCCTTCGAAAATATTCTTTAAAAAATCCAAGTTTATAGCTCTGCTAGTCCTTGGAAAAATATTCTTTAAAAAATCCACGTTTATAGCTCTGCTTGTCCTTGTAGAAATATTCTTTAAAAAATCCACGATTATAGCTCTGCTGGTCCTTGGAAAAATATTCTTTAAAAAATCCACGTTTATAGCTCTGCTGGTCCTTGGAGAAATATTCTTTAAAAAATTCACGTTTATAGCTCTGCTGGTCCTTGGAAAAATATTCTTTAAAAAATCCACGTTTATAGCTCTGCTGGTCCTTGGAGAAATATTCTTTAAAAAATCCACGTTTATTGGCCTGCTAATCCTTGAAAAAATATTCTTTAAATAATCCACGTTTATAGCTCTGCTGGTCCTTGGAAAAATAATCTTTAAAAAACCCATGTTTATAGCTCTGCTGGTCCTTGGAAAAATAATCTTTAAAAAATCCACGTTTATAGCTCTGCTGGTCCTTGGAAAAATAATCTTTAATAAATCCACGTTTATAGCTCTGCTAGGCCTTGGAAAAATATTTTTTAAAAAATCCACGTTTATAGCTCTGCTGGTCCTTGCAAAAATATTCTTTAAAAAATCCACGTTTATAGATCTGCTGGTCCTTGGAAAAATATTTTTTAAAAAACCACGGTTATAGCTCTACTAGTCCTTGGAGAAGTATTCTTTAAAAAATCCACGTTAATAGCTCTGCTGGTCCTTGGATAAATACTCTTTAAAAAATCCACGTTTATAGCTCTGCTAGTCCTTGGAAAAAAATTCTTTAAAAAATCCACGTTTATAGCTCTGCTGGTCTTTGGAAATTTTTTCTTTAAAAAATCCAGGTTTATAGCTCTGCTAGGCCTTTGGAAAAATATTCTTTAAAAAATCCAGGTTTATAGCTCTGCTAGGCCTTGGAAAAATATTCTTTAAAAAATCCACGTTTATAGCTCTGCTGGTCCTTGGAAAAATATTCTTTAGAAAATCCACGTTTATAGTTCTGCTGGTCCTTGGAAAAATATTCTTTAGAAAATCCACGTTTATAGTTCTGCTGGTCCTTGGAAAAATATTCTTTAAAAAATCCACGTTTAAAGCTCTGCTGGTCCTTGGAAAAATAGTCTTTAAAAATCCACGTTTATAGCTTTGCTGGTCCTTGGAAAAATATTCTTTAACAAATCCACGTTTATAGCTCTGCTAGTCCTAGGAAAAATATTCTTTAAAAAATCCACGTTTATAGCTCTGCTGGTCTTTGGCAAGATTTTCTTTAAAAAATCCACGTTTATAGCTCCGCTAGTCCTTGGAAAAATATTCTTTAAAAAATCCACCTTTAAAGCTCTACTGGTCCTTGGAGAAATATTTTTTATAAAATCCATTTTCTTCTTAAACCGACATAAAATTCCATAATGACATCCTCATGTTTCGTGTTTCTTCTCTTCCAGTGCTAACCGTATTGACATCAACTATAAAATACAACGAATACGTGACCGATAAAGGCGAAAATATTTCAATACCATGTATTGCTGATGGTAACATCATGTGGGTCAAAGAGAATGGCAGCAATAATAATACAATAATACAGGTAAGTGCAATGACAAATTTTGAATTTCAGAACCTTTCTCAAAATAAATTAGAATAGGTTCTGGAGACCGATTTTTAAAACAACGTTCAATCCGAGAAATATTTTTTTTTTGTAGAAAAAATATCCCCAAAAATATTCATAGAAATTTGAGTCATTTAGAAAATTCTTAATTATTTCAAAATTTTCTCCCCTCTTTTTCCAGACCGGCAAATACTTAATCCTTCGAAATGTCTCAGCCTCCGATCGTGGTATCTATGTGTGTTTTGCCGCTGTAACACCACGGAAAAGCATTGCCACCCCCACCACCAACATCGCCACAAATCAATCATCAGCCAGTGATAATGTTCTGCCATCCCATGAGGAATCCACAGACGCAGAAAAAGAAAGTCAAGATGAAAAAACCGGTGAGACAAAAAATGCGACAACTGTCGAAGTTGCCACTGGCGACGAAAAGCCTTCTGTAGAAAATAATATTGAAAATATAAAAACAAAAAATGCTTCAACTACCTCAATGCTTCCAATGCCTAAGGATGCTACAAGCCGTGCCAGCAGCAGCCACGTAGCATCTATACCAACAACAGAAACAGCTTCACCGCCAGCCTCCGCTTCAGCCAGCAATAAAACAATGCCAGCAACAAGTAGCAGTTCAAGTAATGTCAGCACCAGCCATCAGAATACCACCACAACCACAAATGCCACCAGTAGCAGCATCAGCGACAGTCACAACACTTCCAGCAACCACAACAACACCAGCAACAACAGCAGTAGTAGTAGTAATTATGCCAACAACAGCAGTAGTCCCAGTCCAAGTGAGGAAATCCTTATAACTACCACCACTCTGCTGCCACCATCCCATGGACACAATGGGGTAAAACAAAAGCAGGCAAAAGAATCCGATGATGATGCCAATGACGACGACGATGAGGATGAGGATGTTGTGCAGGAATTTCAGGCATTTCAAAAAATCAACCTTACCGTTCGTACCCCACCGGGGCCCGTTTCCCAGCTGTATTTTAAGGCCTCAACCATTTTGGGTTTCCTCGTGTGGCGTTTTAATAAAACCAATTCCGGTGGATATCCGGTGCGTAGCTTTACAGCGGAATTCCGTAATGTTTCGTATGATACACCGCCGTACAATAGTAGCTTTGAGCATCAATGGAGTCGGATGGATCCCATTAATATTGCACCGAATGTGGTAAGTGGGGAGGAATACAAACTGTTATCTATTAGCTTTGAATTTAATGAAAGGAGATGGGTGCCATTTGGCGTATACGTAGTGACAGTAATTATACGCTCCAGAGTTCTATGGAGGTAGGAAACTTATTTTAGCGACATCGAAGCTAGAAGAGTTAAAATCGTAAATGTTTTAGGGATACTTTTCCAAGGACTGTCAGAGATATAAACAGGGATTTTTGAAAGAATTTTTCTCCAAGGACTAGCAGGGCTATTAACGTGGATTTTTAAACAATATTTTTCCAAGGACTAGCAGTGCTATAAGGATATCTTGCCAAGGACTAGCAGAACAATAAACGTGGATTTTTTTTAAAAAATAATTTTCCAAGAATTTTTTAATTTTTTAGTCTTTTTAATAGTTTTCCAAAGACTACTAGAACGTGGATTTGTTTAAAGAATATTTTTCCAAGGACTATCAGAGCTATAAACGTGGATTTTTGAAAGGAAATCTCGCCAAGGACTAGCAGAGCTATAAACGTGGATTTTTTTAAAGAAAAACCTATTAAGGACTGGCAGAGCTATAAACGTGGATTTTTTTAAAGAAAAACCTATCAAGGACTGACAGAGCTATAAACGTGGATTTTTTTAAAGAAAAACCTATCAAGGACTGGCAGAGCTATAAACGTGGATTTTTTTAAAGAAAAACCTATCAAGGACTGGCAGAGCTATAAACGTGGATTTATTTAAAGAAAAACCTATCAAGGACTGGCAGAGCTTTAAACGTGGATTTTTTTAAAGAAAATTTTTCCAAGAATTTTTTTAAGAATAGTTTTCCAAAGACTAACAGAACGTGGATTTCTTAAAGAATATTTTTCCAAGGACTAGTAAAACGTGGATTTTTTAAAGAAAATCCTTCCAAGGACTAGTAGAGCTAATAACGTGGATTTCTTAAAGGATATTTTTCCAAGGACCAGCAGAGCTATAAATGTGGATTTTTAAAGAATATTTTTCCAAGGACTAGCAGAGCTATTAACGTGGATTTTTCAAAGAATATTTTCCCAAGGATTAACAGACCAAGAAACGTGGATTTCTCAAAGAATATTTTCCCAAGGACTAACAGACCAAGAAACGTGGATTTTTAAAGAATAGTTTTCCAAGGGCAATTAGACCAAGAAACGTGGATTTTTTAAAGAATAGTTTTCCAAGGACTAGTAGACCAAGGAACGTGGATTTTTTAAAGAATAGTTTTCCAAGGACTAGTAGACCAAGAAACTCGGATTTTGAAAGAATAGTTTTCCAAGGGCTATTAGACCAAGGAACGTGGATTTTTTAAAGAATAGTTTTCCAAGGGCAATTAGACCAAGAAACTCGGATTTTGAAAGAATAGTTTTCCAAGGACTGGTAGACCAAGAAACGTGGATTTTTTAAAGAATATTTTTCCAAGGACTAGTAGACCAAGAAACGTGGATTTTTTTAAAGAATATTTTTACAAGGACTAGTAGACCAAGAAATGTGGATTTTTTAAAGAATATTTTTCCAAGGACTAGTAGACCAAGAAACGTGGATTTTTTAAAGAATATTTTTCCAAGGACTAGTAGACCAAGAAACGTGGATTTTTTAAAGAATATTTTTCCAAGGACTAGTAGATCAAGAAACGTGGATTTTTTAAAGAATAGTTTTCCAAGGACTAGTAGACCAAGAAACGTGGATTTTTTAAAGAATAGTTTTCCAAGGACTAGTAGACCAAGAAACGTGGATTTTTTAAAGAATATTTTTTCCAGGACTAGTAGACCAAGAAACGTGGATTTTTTAAAGAATATTTTTCCAAGGACTAGTAGACCAAGAAACTTGGATTTTTTAAAGAATATTTTTCCAAGGACTAGTAGATCAAGAAACGTGGATTTTTTTAAAGAATATTTTTCCAAGGACTAGTAGATCAAGAAACGTGGATTTTTAAAGAATATTTTTCCAAGGACTAGTAGACCAAGAAACGTGGATTTTTTAAAGAATATTTTTCCAAGGACTAGTAGACCAAGAAACGTGGATTTTTTAAAGAATATTTTTCCAAGGACTAGTAGACCAAGAAACGTGGTTTTTTTAAAGAATATTTTTCCAAGGACTAGTAGACCAAGAAATGTGGATTTTTTAAAGAATATTTTTCCAAGGACTAGTAGACCAAGAAACGTGGATTTTTTAAAGAATAGTTTTCCAAGGACTAGTAGACCAAGGAACGTGGATTTTTTAAAGAATAGTTTTCCAAGGACTAGTAGACCAAGAAACGTGGATTTTTTAAAGAATATTTTTCCAAGGCCTAGCGGAGCTATAAATGTGGATTTTTTAAAGAATATTTTTCCAAGGACTAGTAGACCAAGAAACGTGGATTTTTTAAAGAATATTTTTCCAAGGACTAATATACCAAGAAACGTGGATTTTTTAAAGAATATTTTTCCAAGGACTAATATACCAAGAAACGTGGATTTTTTAAAGAATATTTTTCCAAGGAGTAGTAGACCAAGAAACGTGGATTTTTTAAAGAATATTTTTCCAAGGACTAATATACCAAGAAACGTGGATTTTTTAAAGAATATTTTTCCAAGGACTAGTAGACCAAGAAACGTGGATTTTTTAAAGAATAGTTTTCCAAGGACTAGTAGACCAAGGAACGTGGATTTTTTAAAGAATATTTCCCAAGGACTAGTAGACCAAGAAACGTGGATTTTTTAAAGAATATTTTTCCAAGGACTAGTAGACCAAGAAACGTGGATTTTTTAAAGAATATTTTCCAAAGGACTAGTAGACCGAGAAACGTGGATTTTTTAGAGAATATTTCCCAAGGACTAGTAGACCAAGAAACGTGGATTTTTTAAAGAATATTTTTCAAAAGGACTAGTAGACCAAGAAACGTGGATTTTTTAAAGAATATTTTTCCAAGGACTAGTAGACCGAGAAACGTGGATTTTTTAAAGAATATTTTTCCAAGGACTAGTAGACCAAGAAACGTGGATTTTTTAAAGAATATTTTTCCAAGGACTAGTAGACCAAGAAACGTGGATTTTTTAAAGAATATTTTTCCAAGGACTAGTAGACCAAGAAACGTGGATTTTTTAAAGAATATTTTTTAAGGACTAGTAGACCAAGAAACGTGGATTTTTTAAAGAATATTTTTCCAAGGACTAGTAGACCAAGAAACGTGGATTTTTTAAAGAATATTTTTCCAAGGACTAGTAGACCAAGAAACGTGGATTTTTTAAAGAATATTTTTCCAAAGACTAGTAGACCAAGAAACGTGGAATTTTTTAAAGAAGGCCCAGCGGAGCTATAAACGTGGATTTCTTAAAGAATATTTCCACAAGGATTAGTAGAGCTATAAACGTGGATTTTTTAAAGAATATTTCCACAAGGATTAGTAGAGCTATAATCGTGGATTTTTTAAAGAATATTTCTACAATGATTAGTAGAGCTATAAACATGGATTTTTTAAAGAATATTTTTCCAAGGCCTAGCGGAGCTATAAACGTGGATTTTTAAAGAATATTTTTCCAAGGACTAGTAGACCAAGAAACGTGGATTTTTTAAAAAATATTTTCCCAAGGACTAGTAGACCAAGAAACGTGGATTTTTTAAAGAATATTTTTCCAAGGACTAGTAGACCAAGAAACGTGGATTTTTTAAAGAATATTTTTCCAAGGACTAGTAGACCAAGAAACGTGGATTTTTTAAAGAATATTTTTCCAAAGACTAGTAGACCAAGAAACGTGGAATTTTTTAAAGAAGGCCCAGCGGAGCTATAAACGTGGATTTCTTAAAGAATATTTCCACAAGGATTAGTAGAGCTATAAACGTGGATTTTTTAAAGAATATTTCCACAAGGATTAGTAGAGCTATAATCGTGGATTTTTTAAAGAATATTTCTACAATGATTAGTAGAGCTATAAACATGGATTTTTTAAAGAATATTTTTCCAAGGCCTAGCGGAGCTATAAACGTGGATTTTTAAAGAATATTTTTCCAAGGACTAGTAGACCAAGAAACGTGGATTTTTTAAAAAATATTTTCCCAAGGACTAGTAGACCAAGAAACGTGGATTTTTTAAAGAATATTTTTCCAAGGACTAGTAGACCAAGAAACGTGGATTTTTTAAAGAATATTTTTCCAAGGACTAGTAGACCAAGAAACGTGGATTTTTTAAAGAATATTTTTCCAAAGACTAGTAGACCAAGAAACGTGGAATTTTTTAAAGAAGGCCCAGCGGAGCTATAAACGTGGATTTCTTAAAGAATATTTCCACAAGGATTAGTAGAGCTATAAACGTGGATTTTTTAAAGAATATTTCCACAAGGATTAGTAGAGCTATAATCGTGGATTTTTTAAAGAATATTTCTACAATGATTAGTAGAGCTATAAACATGGATTTTTTAAAGAATATTTTTCCAAGGCCTAGCGGAGCTATAAACGTGGATTTTTAAAGAATATTTTTCCAAGGACTAGTAGACCAAGAAACGTGGATTTTTTAAAAAATATTTTCCCAAGGACTAGTAGACCAAGAAACGTGGATTTTTTAAAGAATATTTTTCCAAGGACTAGTAGACCAAGAAACGTGGATTTTTTAAAGAATATTTTTCCAAGGACTAGTAGACCAAGAAACGTGGATTTTTTAAAGAATATTTTTCCAAAGACTAGTAGACCAAGAAACGTGGAATTTTTTAAAGAAGGCCCAGCGGAGCTATAAACGTGGATTTCTTAAAGAATATTTCCACAAGGATTAGTAGAGCTATAAACGTGGATTTTTTAAAGAATATTTCCACAAGGATTAGTAGAGCTATAATCGTGGATTTTTTAAAGAATATTTCTACAATGATTAGTAGAGCTATAAACATGGATTTTTTAAAGAATATTTTTCCAAGGCCTAGCGGAGCTATAAACGTGGATTTTTAAAGAATATTTTTCCAAGGACTAGTAGACCAAGAAACGTGAATTTTTTAAAGAATATTTTTCCAAGGACTAGTAGACCAAGAAACGTGG